TGAGTTTTTCTCCATGAAGAAATGGCTTTTGGAGGCTCGGAAGGTGTTATTCGTAATCAGCTCGTTAAGCTGAATCTGAATATGTATAACAACGCCAAAAAAACAATTTCACTTGAAGTTTGCATTACGTGCATCTTAATTTTGTTCTCTTTTCATATTATTTAGACGTGAACGTAACACAACGATTCATCCTGATAATCGTGTTGATGTTGAATTATTGCGCGAACGTCAACAACAGCGAGAAGAATTTACCACATCACCATCTTCATCTCCTGCCTCGTCCACTACCACAACAAGATCGACATCTTCACTACTCGGACAACCAAGACATGACACATGTCCTATTTGTTTAAATGAATCAACATATTCAGTTGAAACAAACTGTGGACATTTATTCTGTGGTAAGATTATTACTTTTCATAGTATAATTCATCTTACGAGGAAAGGTCCCCAAGTGTTACTCTCACTTTTCAATGAGACATATGCTGATTTATAGAGCTTGACGAGCTAATTACGATGCCATAAAGTATTTTTCTCCAACTTTTCTTAACGAGGCATAATTGTAGCGCGCATATTTCTGATTGAAATGAGATTTCTCCCAGCTCTACACGACCTTCCTTTACAAAACTATACAATTTACAAGAAAAGCTCGAAATTAATTTCTTATTTCTGTAGCTTTGAGCTGACAAGGAAAATTTAGGGCTTTTCTTGTAAATTCTGTAACTTTGCAAAGAAAGATCGTGTGGAGCTGTGAGGTGTCTCATTTTAATCAGAAATATGCGCATTACAATTATGCCTCAAATCATGTCTATTTCATGGATAGTTCTGTTTCAGCATCGCGTAGAATGTCAGTTTCGGTTTTCAAAAGATGCATCATTTAATTCTCTATAAAATCTTGTTCAAAAATGTATTGTGAAGAAATATGGAGCTCAATTTTTAGAAATCTAAGTAAACTGTGTTTACTGCTTAGTGATTTGTTTAGCTTTTTATAATCTATTTCTGATACCGAATAGAACCATCAAAAACAATAAGAGCTTTATCTTGCCACGGGAAACAAGCAACACTTTCAACAGTTAGCCAAACTTTAATCGTGGTAGAAAAAGCATTAATCCAGTTAGGGTCATAAAAACTGTATGGTTGTATTAAAAAATGTTAAATATCAGGAAGCGATAGGGCTTTTCAAAGACAATACATTAGACGAGTGTTTAGTATCCGTGCACTTATTCTTTAAGTAGCAAGCAGAAGGAATCTAAACAATAGGTAAAAACTCCGTTTATTTTCCAGTTCTTGATCTCTAACAATTTGAATTCATGTTGTTTTAAAATGCATTCAATAGGACTTTATAGAGAAGTGAATAATGCATCTTTTGACACAGAAATTGACATTTCACCAGACGTTGACGCCGAAATATGCATGATATAAATAGCATTACAAATATTTTGGGCACATTCGTTACGAGTACTATAAACTCTATAATATTATTTTACTATAAACTTGTTTTTCATCAGTAAAAATATTGTATTTTTTCTTTGTTTTAGGTAAATGTTTAATATCTTATTGGCGCTTTCAGCCAAATTGGTTAGCAGGCATGCGTTGTCCTGTATGTCGACAACCAGTGAGTCATCACATTCATCTTAATTTATAAATAATTTTTTCATTTTATGTTTTAAAGGTCACAGTTCTCCTGCCCTGTTTTACAGCAGATGAACAACAATCAACAGATGTTGATAAACAAACAATAATAAATGATTACAATGACTTTAATCGACGATTTTCTGGAGCACCAAGAACGGTAATACCTTTATTTTTGTCTCTATTACCGAAATCATTCTACTGATGAATGTGAATAATATTTGCACGAAACACTCAATTAAATTCATTATTTATAGACATCTATTGTAATTTTTCCTCTTATAGTATTTAAAAGTTCATCCAGTGGTATGATCAGGCAAATATCACCTCATTTTCTGTACATCTTTCTTTGATTTGAGTTAAAAATGTCTACATTATTAAATAAAATAATGAATTCAATTGAGTTCATCATGAAAATATTCTTCACATTTATCAACGTTTTCTCAACAAATAATATTAGTTTATTCTGTTGATATTCATTGTGTTCTTTTTAGTATTTGGAATATATTCGTGATATACCTGTATTAATTCCTCATTTAATTCGTCAAATATTTAGTGTACACGGTATCCAATGGGCATATCGTCTGCGATTTATTACCATCTTCTTATTAGTCATTGCCTATGTCATTAGCCCATTTGATTTGTTACCAGAGTCTGCTATCGGCATTCTTGGAATGTTAGATGATTTATTTTTATTTCTTTGTATGCTTATCTATGCAAGCGTTATTTATCGACAACAGCTCTCACAAAGTTAGAAAAACTGAACTATTGTTAATACTATTTTTTTTTGGCAGTATAGTTGTTAAGTTTGAAATAGCCTTTCGTCGTTTTTTTTTCTTGTATTTCTTGTTCTTTTCACTTTTGATACTTATTAATATAAATCCGATGCATTTACAAAAGAAAAAGAAATTAACAGTTTTGAGATGAGATGTAAACTTTGACGATTCCAAATTACGACATCAATTGCTATTCGTTCATCTTTCTGTAAAGAGGTTGTTATTTTAGAAGAAAAAAAAAGGAATGTGCGTTAGCCGGGAGTCGAACCCGGGTCGGCTGCTTGGAAGGCAACCATGCTAACCGTTACACCACCAACGCTACATGTACATCTCGTATACAACAGTTGGTATAGGAAAATTTGCGAACAAAATGGTGAAAAAGAATTTTCATGAGAATACGATATGTTTCAAAACTTTTCTTAGACTTTTGGCAGCACGTCTCACCAAAAATAGAAATCATCTGAGTTATCTAGTGTACTGAATACGATAAACACTTTTTCGTGACTTTAAATGAACTTTATTTTTCTGTCTGTGATATGTATCTGATGGGATTTTGTTATTATAATGTATCGATACTATACTGTTGCGTTCACCCAAATTTTAGTCGAAACAGGCTCCGCTAATAATCCCAAACTAAACTTCCAGTTAGTGATTACTAATGACGGCGCTCAGATTTTATAGATAGCCCTCTTTTTTATACTAGTTTACATCAAATGATTCTAATTCTCGTATGAGCTTTATTAATCCATGCTTTTTTTCTTTTTTTGTTATCGGCAAGGTGTTGTTGTTTTCTATAAATGACTATCAGCTGCTATTTTTAAGCGGTTTTGGTTATAGGCATCTAGCAAAAACGAAAATCCAGGTCAAAAAAATCAGACAAAGATCTTACACGATCGTATGAGATCTAATGGTTTCTTATGCAATATTACGGAAAAATATAGAAACGGATTCATCTTATAAAATCATACAAGAATCTTACGAAATCTGCTGAAATCTTACTATAAGATCTTACATCAAGAATCAGTTTCTGTGTTAATCTTATAAATTCTTATACGAATCTTACGAAATCAGACGGAATCGTACAAGAATCTTATAAGATCTCACATTAAGATTCTTTGACCTGGGAAATCTCTTGTCATAGGTATACATCATATCTATCTATATATATATATATGTTACAATGCAGATTAGAATTCAGACTGGTTCTGAATCAGATCAGACTCATTTGAAATTTCGATTCAGACCAGTTCAGGTATACCGCCATAATAAACGAAAATACTGTCCAGTATACCGGCGGTAACCACACGGTATGTCACTATACCGTCGGTACCGTCTGGTATTTTGTCATTATAAACACGTAGAACAGGAATTCGAAACTAATTTTCAACTCTTTGATCTAGAGATGACACGGCATACGAACGTTTCGCGTCCTTTCATACAATATGAAAGCCGGAGTATTTTTTATTTATTTCATGAAGTATGACATGTTATATGTGTTATATTGATTTCCGAGTAGCGTGTTTATTTCTATTTTCAGAATTAGGGATATAAAACACACGATATGCTAGAATTAGGAAACGACAGAAAAAGAGAAATAGAGAGTATAGTTTATTCGTACTCTAGTCAATTAAGAGCGATTAAAAGAATCTTACATGCTTCAATAGAGCAGAAGCTCAGTCACACCGCTATAGAAAAGCTTTTGTCTAATCTCAAAGAAATGACTTCTAAAAACGAATAGTTCTCATGTTAATGTAGGAAAGAAATAAGCAGTAAGTCATTAGCAAAACATTTATTTCCAGAAGAAGTTCTGAAATTTTTTGTTCGCAATAGAGAAGCCACTGTTTGAAAATTCTAATGTATATCAGACTCTATTTCGTAGTGGTCATAAGCTACCTTTTATTCAGTCGATAACCAATGTTTTCATTCATTTCTGACAGTCCCAAACCTAACGGCAGAGGAGTGCGAAAGCTTCAGCAAAAATGTCCATAGCTCTCGAACAACGGATTTGCAAGATGTCGCTTAGATCTAGTTTTGTAGAGAACACTTTGGACTACATATCTATGAAAAAGTTTTTAGACGTTTATATGTCAGTTTTCAGAGAACCGAACTGGTTTTCCAAAGATTCTCTGAAAAATCGGTCTCGAAACTTTTTAAAAAGTCAGGTTTCGCTTGAGAAAAACTACAGTAGGGTTTTGGCTACATGCCAGTGAAAATCGCAGGTCTCTATCTCATTCCTATTAAAAGTTATTCGAAAAATAACCATCCGCATTCTTTTTCGGAACGGATAGTAATTTGCATAACACTACGTAGCGTAATAAAATTTACCCAGATCGCTCGACGATTTATATGATCAATAAAAAATACTCGTTTACTGTCAAACATTTGCCAGTCTATTGAAATAAGACCAAACAAAGACGTTACAATGAATTGTATAAAAAAGTATCTTCTTCAAATCTTTTAACAGCATCCGATCTATCACTTGTCGAGATGTATTATCCCTCTCATACCTTTATTTTCATTTTTATTCATGCAATTTGTGTCCATAATAGGTTTCAGTTCTATTGATACTGAAATGACTCATCATTAATGTGGATTTTTCATTTGAATTAATGTGGATTCAATTTCAAGGTATCCGCATTCTTAAATTTCTATTTTTAACCATGCCATTAATTCATAAAATGTTATTAAGTGGAATGGAAAGATGGAAATACTTTTCTGTTCCAATACCAACAACAGCGGTGAAGAAACGTTTGCCAGCATACTTTATCACTCACGCTATAATGTTGCACAACTGGTTCGATGATGGTGTTAGTTGTTGTTACATTGTCTTCAGTATTATTTTCCGTCTTTTTGATCATCAATTGTTTCCTATTTACCTTGACTTGTCTCATTCTTTGGAACGTATAGTGGTGGATTGAACATTTTATCAATTGGTTTAAAAGCTTCTTTAAATCCTTTATTTTCTGTTATGAATGGTATCGAAGTCATAACGTCGTCAGTAATAAATGGACACATTCGTCCCAATGTCTGCATTGGTTTTAACATCAAATAAAAAAAATACGCTGCTATGCTGTTGTCCATTCCACCGTCTATTGTGGTTATCCATTGGAATATGTCGCTTAATAAAATACGCAACAAATATAGATCATCATATTTTTTATTTCTCTCTAATTCATATTTTTTCAAAATTATTTTATTTAATGTTTGTATTTGATTATATTTAACTTGAAGTTCATATTGAAATTCTATTGAAAAACTTAAATCCCCATGCTCATTAACATCTGCAATCGTGTGTTCCGCTGATAGCTTGGCCATTTCAACTTGCGCTAGAATGTTTGTAGCATCCATTATAAAATTATAAAAATCAAAATATTTCCGAATAGCCTCATTTCGTGTTTTAATCTTGGATTATGTGCTAAATACGTCTTCGCCAGCAGGATCTCGTTGTATTAAGCTTATATATGCATCATCAATGCGGTGACGTTCATCGAGCATACTAATAATCAATTCAGCCGATAAATAATAATTTTTTACGTGTGCACAAGTATATCTCAGCGTAATGATGGTAAGCATGACCAGTCGGTAACATATAAAAGGATCGCCACTGTTGCACTTTTTAAATAATCATTCGAAAACTGCTTCTGAAAATATACCAAGGATAAATTCTTTCTAATAATGAACACTTTTCATATAACAATTGTACTATCGCACATGGCATGATATATGGTCCTACTTCTTCTAAGTGCACCTGTTGGATTACATTCAGTACATGCAACAAATCAGTGTACATCATGTTACATGTTACAATTTTGGCTATATCTTCGTCTTCCATTACATCGGGACCGTGTGGGTGATTAGTTAACAACGTTTGATTATCTAAGCAGGCAAAACTATTTGGTTAACGGCATTGATAGTGCTAAATGTATGATTGGATTCGACATATCATCATATATATTGTTATCGGACTTTGCTTGAAAATTTCTGTTGTCAGACAACAAGAGCAACTGTTCTTGATGATATTTTATTATTTGTTCCAATAATTCTTCACTGGAAACGATTTCAATGATTGATTTCAAGGATATTGCGACCGTGGACAAATCAATCGCAGAGTCAATCAGACTACTTTCACGTTCCGCTCTATTGAATTCTGCGATCGGTTGATAATAATCAGTATCAATAAATAATTGTTTCCATTTAACCCAATTGTTTCCTTGATCATCATCCACTGCGTATAATTTATGTAATAAGACTCGTATGTAAGGCTCGTCATTACTTTCATCGTTTTCATCATCTGTATCCCACCCACGTTTAATTACTCTAAATTCTTCAACGCCTTTAATCCTATCTAGTGTACCGTCAGTATTTGCTGTACGAAACTCAATGTGATTATCTTGCTGGTGTTTTATAGTTTCAACTAATTTTGATGTTAATGTTGAATTAATCAATTCGTTCATATTAACACCAGATTTTAATATCTGATAGGCTTCATCTAATGTTTTTTCAGAGCAAGATGCTAGAATATTAATGCCATCAACAAAATAATGTTGACAATAACGCTGTTTCAACAAAGAGCAAACAAAATCAATCCATTTCTCAGTCATAACTTCAGCTATAACTTGATTATCATCACTTTTAAACGCTTTTAAATCCATCAATTCACACATCCACAGCACGGTTGTTTTGACAAAATAAGATTTAATGCAATCGTCATTACTTTGAGGTTTATGCAAATACTTGTAATAAATATTTCTTGCTACGCTATTAAGAATTTTCTCATTTATTGTTCGTTTATCAGATAATGTAATTTCCACTGCTGAGAAAGAATAACGGAATTCCAACTGCTTATCAGCACTAGTCGATTCGTTTTTAGACCATTTTGGCACTAAGTGCATGTAAGTTGTTTTTATATGTTCAAATAATGTAGGACAGGTTGCTTCAAAACGTTTCAAAAATGTTTTTTGTATATCGTATGGCCAAAAATTGAGTTTAAATGCTCGTAACACATCCGCATCGAAACGATGAGGAAAAAATCGATCTTTTATAAATTTATCAACGTCAGTAGTTCGATCGACTAAATGTTTATATTTCAAATAAAAACTAACTAAAGTGTCTGCTTTTAACTTTTCATCAACTGTTAGTGGAATATTGAATGGCGGTCCACATAAACTATAAAAGTCAATAATGCAATTTTCATCTACTGGAGAAAGATTATATTTCTTAGAAAAAGATTTATTGAATAATTCGATTTGTATTGGAATAGAATAAAGTTTAAACAAGGCTACATAATTCTTGGATAGTACGTTAATATCTTGAATGCCGTTTCTCATATTAGTTATCAGATGTAAACCTTGTTTGAATATCATTGACTGTGCCATTTTTTCTTGTTTTGGAGATACTGCTGTTTGGATACTCGCTGAATCGATAGTTACTTCATGAGTTACACGAGAGAAATCATCGAAACAATTTGATTTCATTCCTAACTTCTTTAACGACGAGTAAGTTTCTTTAATTTTGAGGCCATCAACGCACCAGACACCGTTTTGATCTTGTCTTCGGGATTTTAATAATAATGTTTTATTATCCCATTTAATTTTAACAAATCCAGGAATATTATCTAATTTGATTAACTCGTCCTCTGAATTAATAAAACCTTCTTCCAAGAGTAAATCATAATCTGGTGGTGTTGTGTCGGCAAAATATCTCGAATAAGCTTGACCTTCTCTACGACTACCTGTTAACAACATGCTTTGTATATTTTTAATTGCGCACAGTATTAAATATATCCATTGTGTGAATGAAAGCAATTAAAACTCCTTAATGTGTACTTTACCCGTAAATGTTTTGAATAAGATTCTTTCATGTGTCTTATTGATTAAAAATATCTAGCAATTGAGTGTTGCTCGCAGCACAAAAAACACCTTTTCCATCCTAATGTTAATAGAGCAAGAATAAACTATTTAATTCTAGAATCCCTCTGCTCTTCTTCGAAAAATGTACATTGTCTCGCATACAAACAGCGAGAGAGAAAAAACTGGACTAAGTGCATAGTCCAGTTCAGTTCACATGGATTCGGACTCGACTCAAACTTTCAAGATCATGGACTGATCTGGACTCGGAAAAATTTTGGATGGAGTTGAATCGAGGAAAAATCGATAACCGACAAGTTGTTTTTGTTTTGTTAAAGGCGATTCTAGAATACTAATAGAGAAGAAAAAAAAATAACAGAATAAAAGTAAATTGTAAAAATGACTCGGGAAGAATTAGAGATACCCCCAGAGGATGTGTCAGTCAAGGAACTAAAATAAAAATAAAATAGTCCATATTTCTCATTCTCTAGTCCTTTTAGAATTTACTTTTATTCTGTTATTTCTTTTCCTTGTCTGTTAGTATCATCGTATGCTCGTTTTACTTTAACTACCGTCAGCCGGACTGTTTCATATGTTCGTTTATACGTACAAGTGTCGTGTATAAATAACATAAAAATAAAGGGTAGTCCAGAAGTCTGTCTTATTCAATATTTTCTCAATATCTCGGCCATGGTTGATCGATAAGGCTCAATCTTTGTTTTTGAAAGAAACTTTATTCAATTCTATACACAAAACATTGAACATTTCTTTATACAGTATAAGAATAAAAAAATATAAAGGAAATAAGGGAAAGCTTCAATATTGATTACTTTCAAACCTAAAGCTCAACCAAAAAGTATTTATTTTGAATACGATGCTATGCATCAAAGTGGGATCGAAATGAAGTTTCTGGTGCCCCAGAATATCAGCTTTCTTTTCTTGTATCATAAGTTCGCTACAAATCTTTTTCCTGCCACGAGATTTTACTAAAAGTAAAAAAAAGGGAAAACTTGATTTGTTCGCCTTGGCACAGAGAACAAAATGGGACGATTCGACTTTCTCTGTTCCGATTGTTTGATGCACTGGGAAAGTCTTGTTATGGAAGTCTATTTTCCAAATTTCCATCTATCTCCATTTCGGGAAGCAAAAATCATGATACGGTGCGAGATTTCCGAGACTGTGATTGGGAAGGCTTAAACGAATCTTTGCGCTTGTGTAGCAAAGATGTTACAGATCAGGATAACGTACACGAGGCTCTTAAGTTTTTTCAAAACGCAGTAAACAACGGTGTGAATAAATTTGTTCCCGTAAAACTTAGGAAGAAAAACAAATCCTCTTTTTCCGCACGAGTAAACATTATTACAGATTAAGGCGTCAACGTGATATTCAGTTTTTGAAGGTTAAGCAAAATCCAGCTGTTTTTAACGTTATAAAATTACACTCGTTAAGGAATAAGGCAACTGAGGAATTCAGAAGGTGTAAGCGAGAATATTTTTGTAAGTTAGCCGCAGAATGCAAGCCATCCCAGATGTTTTGGAAAGGTATTCCTTGAGCTAATGAAGGTGGTAACGAGTTACCGGCAAATATGTTTTTTGAAAATAGAAACGCTTCTTCCAACAATGAAAAAGCTGAGCTTTTCAATGAGTATTTTTCAAAATGTTTTGTGCCAAAACAAGGGCCAACGGTTAAACCAAAAATTGAAATAAATGGCGTTTTTACACTAATTCCGCCCTCAGAAGATCAGATATTTAAGGCAATAAGTGAGCTGAGAAATGATATTGCTGCGGGACCGGATGGTGTTACTGTGAAGTTTCTTAAGGAATGTTGCCTCGAGCTCCTTGATGCCATTTATCATACCTTTATTCTCTCTATCCGTGATGGTGCTCATCCCTCGGCATGGAACTTAGCTGATGTTATTCCAATCCATAAGAAAGGCCCAAAGGCGTTAATTGATAAATACCGGCCAGTATCATTACTTTCTATTCTTGGTAAACTGCTGGAACGTTTTATTTACGATCAGCTGATAGCATACCTAAATAAACATCACTTTTTTTCAAATTTTCAATTCGGTTTCTGCAAAAATTGTTCCACAACAGACGCTCTTCTCTTTTTAACTCATCACGTTTATAAAAATCTAGAAAATGGAACTGATTCCATCATGGTCTTATTTGATTTTGAGAAAGCTTTCAATCGTGTTCCTCACCAAATCTTGCTTACGAAGCTTTCTTCGTTGGGTGTGAAAGAAGCACCATATAAATGGTTTGAGAGTTATTTGTTAGATCGGAGGTAAAGAGTCCGGATAGGCAGATCGCTTCCCGAAACAGTAGAGATTCCATCTGGAGTCCCACAAGGCTCTATTCTCGGGCCGCTGCTGTTTCTGATCTTTATAAACGATCTTCCAGTGGTGACAGCGTTGCCAGCTTTATCCATTTATGAAAATATAAGATGAACAATACTCATGAGTAGTTTGCCAAAAGTTATATGAGTACTCAACAATACCCAAGCATGAGTACTCAAAGTCGTACTCACAGTACTCGTTACTCAGTCATGAGTACCCATGTGAGTACTCAGTAAGTAAAAAAATGTATAAGTACTCATGAGTACTCGGGACATTTTTCAGCAGAGTACGACTTTGAGTGCTCACACTTGAGTACATTCACTAGGGAAGATGAATCCGTTTCTATGATTTTCCGTAAGATTTCATAAGATTCGGGTCTGATTTTTTGACTTGAATAACGCTTGATAAGAATTCAGGATTTTCAAGATCTCATTCCTGCTTGTTTCTTGGTCATTGTACATGATCGAACTATTTTGTATACCAACTGTTGTGTACGAGATGTACATGTAGCGTTGGTGGTGTAACGGTTAGCATGGTTGCCTTCCAAGCAGCCGACCCGGGTTCGACTCCCGGCTAACGCACATTCCTTTTTTTTCTTCTAAAATAACAACCTCTTTACAGAAAGATGAACAAATAGCAATTGATGTCGTAATTTGGAATCGTCAAAGTTTATATCTCACCTCGAAAGTATTAGTTTTTAACCGAGTTAAACTAAAAGCGGCTTATTCTTTTTCAATACAAAAAGTTTTTCTTTGTTCTAGATCTACTTTTTCCTTTCAGTCAGCCATTCCTTCTCAGCTATGTGAGCATATTTTCAATAACTTTTTTATGAGATAGTGGCACTTCATGTACATCCAGTATGAACAGTGTACACTGTAATCTTGAATTATTTTCAGTTTGATAGAAAATTGACCATAAAACCCCTGAGGATTTTCAAACTTATAGAAAATCCTCACCGATTTTCCAGCATTATAGAAAGTGTTGATTTTCAAGGATCTGGAAAATCAAGGAGAATTTTCAGATTTATAGAAAATCAAAGAGGATTTTCTATAAATAATTGCCACGATGGATGACAACGCATTCACCTTTTTGTATTACAAAATGTAGCTATATAAAAAATACAGAGATTCGGCTATAGAATTTTTGCGATAATATTTCTAATCTAGTGTTCTTCTACACTGCAGTCTTGACAATTATTTATAGAAAATCCACATAGATTTTCAAGAACCTTGAAAATCGGTATAAATAATTTCCAAGAATCTAGAAAATCAAGGAGGAGAAAATCTTCGACGATTTCATATATGGACTTTCTGAAAATCAACGGCGATTTTCTATAAATACTTAGGGTTAACCAAAAGTTCGTAGAACGGCGATTCCGCCCTCCTCTTCTCACACCGTGATCAAAACTTTTGGTCAGCCCTAAGTATATTCTGATAGCGCTGGAAATTCTCTATCGTCCTATATATTTGTCTTCTGTCTTACATTTATCTATTGCAAAAATAACTTGAGTACAATGAAGACACCCTCAATTGACAAGCGTGCCTGAATGATAGTCAAATTATTCTTCAGCACAGAAATGCACGATAGAACAAAACTATACAAGATGATAGAGAATTTGAAGCTCTATCAGAATGTTTAATTCCTTTTAGAAAGATTTATTTCCATAATATCTATAATTTGAAAAAGCATAAAAAATAGCGAATTTTCGTACTTGTCAATTGAGGGTGCATTGTACTCAAGTTATTTTTGCAATAGATAAATGCAGGACAGTAGACAAATATATAGGACGATAGAGAAATTCAAGCGCTATCAGAATATACTTAGAGCTGACCAAAGGTTTTAATCACAGTGTGAGGGAAGCGAGCATCATCGTTCTACGAACTTTTGGTCAACCCTAAGTAATTTTCAAGATTACACTATAGAGTGATTTCATTAATCATTGCACTTGGCTGATGAACTGCTAACATCTTAGTTTAATGTTAAGTGCCTGTAAGTAATTACTAACAATTTTGTGTTCTAGTTCATTATTAACCAGTTAATGCTGACTAGCTGATTTCTATCTAGAAACATCTTGGCTTATTCCACCCAACTGGATGGAGTAAGATCTCGAAATTTCTGTTCCCCAGATCTTGAGTGAATGATTCAAGAATTCAAAATTTTGTGACGTTTCTTAATCCAAGGTCTTGAGTACATGAAGTTCCACGAGGGTATGCTATCACTTTAGTTTTCGTTTTTTTAAGAAAGGTTTATGATGTTAAATTGAAGACAGACTTGAAATTCCTTGAGGGTAGATGTGGGAAAGAAACACCCTGGCTTATTATCTTACGTCATGAACAACATTTGGTAACAAGTAGTCTGCGAGGTGAAATTATTTTCAAAAATGTAACAGAAAATCATTTCGAGAATATCTTGACATATAAATCCTTATCGTTTTACTGATAAAATGATCAGCTGGAATAAAACGCTGCATTTTATGTTGAATTTTGTAGCTGCCATTCACTCAGCTACCCTCATTCTTCACGAACTCGTTCATAATTTAGTTAACAATCAATTGTAGACTACAAAAGATAGTACCGATAACTCACAATCTTTCTTTGGTAATCATGTTTAGTTATAGTGCGCACGTTGCACCGATTTAACATGTGTTCGTTTCTTAAGAAGCATTTTTCATCATTAATGTCTCATAACAACAAATTTATTGATGATTCACGTGACATGAATATTGTAACATTTGCAGTTAATGTGATCACCAAATACTAGTGGATACATTCTAATACATCGTCAAAAAAAACAATGTTTATTTTGCCTTATCATTTAAAAATCTTTCTCAAAACAACTTTTATTCGAAAAATGATAGAATGGAAGCTGTTTTCTTTTTGAAAAGTTCTAAGTAGAAAAATACTGACATCATTCGAAGAAGGTATATAAGATAGAGTTTTATCAACAATATAGAAATCGAAAGAGTGAACCAATCTGTTACAGTCATATAGTTACAGCTTTCGACGTTTTATTTCAGATTTCAGCTATGATTTCTTCTGTTTTTATTATCATCCTTAGTATTTTCGTTCATTTGACTTATCAAACGAACCACGATGAAGCAACTGGAGAAAGACATACGGGAATTATTGGTGATAAAAATATAGTACGCCAAAACTGTGTACTTGATGAAAAATTCAATAAAATTAATGTTGACGGTAGATTTGATATTTTTTTAACGCAAGTGAAAACAGATACTGATGAAGCAGTAGAAATTGAAACAGATAAAAATATTCAAAACTATGTCATTTGTAAAGTATATAATTCTATTTTGAATATACGGATGAAGACTAATGAAAATTATAAATTTACCAGTATGATTGTCCACATCCAACATCATACATTGTCTGAACTTTCTTTGAATGGTATTGGTCATACAAAAACAACGCATCAAATAAAACAAAATAAAAAATTTATTCTACGCACTGAAGGTATCAGTATATCAACTTGAAACATAAAACGTGTATGTATATATCCATTTTTTAGGTACAACGAGCGTCGATTTGAACTTAGATGTACCAAGATTGAAAGCATTGTTTTATTCAACTGGTAAAAGTATCTTAAGTGGTAGTTGTGATGTGGCTAATATCAAAAGCAATGGTGTAAGTGATGTTATTGCATCGGATCTCGTTGCAAAAGTGGTTAATGTTGCTACAAGTGGTATAGGAACCGTAAAAGTGCTTTGTGTAGATGAATGTAATATTCGAGCTGATAGTATTAGTACCGTCTATTACAGAGGACCAATAAAACGAGAACAAACAAATGGATTAGCCAAAATAAAACAATGGTAAACTGTTCATGTGCTTCTTTTTTATTCAAGCTGTTCATGTTATGAGTGTAAAAGGGCTATGTATGTATAGTTTGCCTTCTTATTGAATTTAAATATATTTTACGAGATTATTGAATAAGTTTCAATACATAAGATATAATACAATGTTTTCTATAGAAACAAGAGCAACAATGATAACTTAAAAAGAGAAATTATAATAAATATTATCGTTGGATATTTTCATGATATTATTATGAATTATCTAAAAATAAGAATTTATATAAATTTGAAACTGAATTGCCAATCAAAAATTAAAATCAAAATATTTTACTTAATATCATTATTCTTTATTTCTATGATCATTTCTTAGTTTAACTTTTTTATTAACTTAAAACATTTTTTATTAACTTATTAGTTGTCAGGAAGTTTAATTTCATTTAGTTTATATAACAGCGGTAATCGGCGTGCAGCAATCTCAAGGCTCGCTGATCGACAGCGAACGGTTCAGTGATCGAAGGTTTAAAAAATAGTTTGTCAAAGCTAAGAATACGAGAACGAAAAAAGACATAAAAGAAATCTCTGTAAAAATGGTGAAGGTTACACCAAACGAAGGAACAGCTATGCCCAGATCAAAGAATCTTGCTGTAAGATCTTGTACGATTCCGTCTGATTTCGTAAGATTCGTATAAGAATTTGTAAGATTCTCTAAGAAACATAGAAACTGATCCTTGATGTAAGATCTTATAGTAAGATTTCATTAGATTTCGTAAGGTTCTTGTATGATTTTATAACATGAATCTGTTTCTGTGATTTTCCGTAAGATTTTATAAGATCGTGATAGATCTTGATGTGATTTTTTGACCTAGGTGATTACACCACAGCCGTAGGTAGTCATGTAAAGAAAAGTTTGAATTAGAGCAGCAACTTTATATTCTTTATATTTGTTTTATTACAGTAAGATCAAAGTACCTTTAATTGCCATTATATCTTATTTACTCTCTAACTAAAGCATACTTTACTAATGTGGTCTCTGCTTCAGATTGATTTACTTTGTTTTCATCCAAAAATCCTTTTCCTCACTAAACAAATAAAGTAGATAGAACGTTGCAGCCCTAATTCGAATATATCTTTATAAGGTTTATGGTACTTTCTCCTAATAGTTCTTCAAAAAAGCGATCGCCGATGTCTCCAATAAGAAAACTATAAGCTGTCGTGTTTGCAGTCTTCGTCCGAACACGTTCGGTGACTGAAAATGTTCGGTAGCAAACCGTTCGGTCGCATCAAGTTTCCAGGGCGAATACGTTCGCTCACCGAACTGGCGCATGTCTAAGCGGTAGATATATCCGATAAAAACAACTAGTGCATTTCATAATGAATAGATTCATGAAGTTTCGTCCATCATCATGATGAGTTTCTCTGCAAACTTCAACAGTCGTCTTGCTCGTAAAATGTGTGGATATAATTCTGATCAAGAAAATGTTCTTCAATAATTTCTTTTTAAAAGAACGTCACTTGTCGAGCAACGTTCCGTTCACAAAGGAAAGGAAAGTAATAGTAAAAGATTCTTGTTGTTGTACTTCCAACACTTTCACTTCTAATGGAGATCACAGACATTCACATGTGCAACCTTTACAACTAACAAGACACCTAAGCGCAACAGAACGAGACTTTTCCCGTTCTCTTTATTTTTCTCTTTACCAGTTCGTTTTCTTGACGATGTAGAACGAAGAAATGTCTTGACTAGATTGAAACAAGAATGCGATATGTCAACACGAGTTCTGTACATTCGAATGTGTTTTAATCACCGAACTAGCAAAAATCTATCTTTCACTTCAAAATTTCTATGAGTTTCAATCTTATTTAAAGTAATTAATAAATTTTACATTAAATAAATCAAATATTAGAATAAAGCCACAGCAGGACGTGATAAATTGTTTTATCATGAAAAGCGCAAATATGTCACTATTCGGGATATGACACTGATATCCACCTATACAACGATAAAAATTGTAACTGGCATAGATTTCGAGAATTTATAGTTTTCGATTGTTAAATCTATCGAGACGTCACGTTAGACCCATACACAAAAAATTGTTCCGATATACCGCGCAATATGAAGCTGTCAATTCTGATAGATTATTATCTCCGAATACGTTTTATTGCGATTATGGTGATCCTTTTCTCCATAAATTTTGGCGCGTTGAAAACGCACCAAAATGCGAAAAATGATTTGAATAAAGAGATACTTTAATGCCGGTACATTCATTCAAAACACTATTCAGAAAAAAAATTGGACCGATTCTGTTCAACGTATAAAAAGTCGATTTTGTGATAATGCATACGGCTTGAAAACCTTTTCCGCGCAGTGTAAAGCAGAGCGTGTATTCATTTTTTCGAGTGTTCGTAGATTTTCCGTGCATGGAGCACCAAAATATACTACTTCCATTTACAACCGTAGATATTACCTGTTCGTTTAGATAGCCTCCAATCTTATTCACTGTTGGATACCTATCTCGACCTCTACGATGAATACTAAACTTTTACAAACATTAAACAGATGTTTCGATAGTGCTTGACCTTTTAAAAAGAATTCGCCTTTGCCTTCGTTTAGCCGTAACATCGGAGACAGTCTCATTCTCGGCACACTTTTCAATCTCTACCTCATAACGCTGAAACTGAGAGGGGGATAAGAAGAAGAATTCCTCAAAAGTAAAATGCCTCATAAGGGACAAAAAGGACAATGTTTCACCAGCGAAATACGTCATGAGGGACAAAAGCAAGGGGGAAAAAGCAGTTTCGGTATGTAAAAAGTAATTATGAAAAGTTTAGACAAGCTTATTTAGATACACATCCAAAAACGAATCGAAAGGTAAACGCAGCTATTTCGATTCGAAAATATACAGACAAACTTGATTGTAATATGATTTAAATCATAATCTGATCACCTTTCCAAAGCTGATTCTATTTCGAATTGATAATTAGCAAAATGGGATGGATACAACCGTTTTTTCTCTCACTAAAACCTACAATCTTCTTTTTCGCTATTTCTCAATGACTAATGTCGTGCAAAAAAGTTTCTTACTTGCCTCTACTTTTTTCTTGCGAGAGAGATATACTATTTTTTTGTTTACGATCTCTTTCTTACTTACAAAAGCGAAAGTAGCAATGCATATAGCCTTGCTCTATTTCTAATCACGCTACAAGCTCTTGCTTTTTAATTTGTTTTGTTTATTATAAAACCGTTAGTTCATTTAAATCAAGTAAAAGATGACGGTGAAATCTGCCATAAACTACGTCAGCAGATAATCTAACTCTGTATAAAGATGCAGAAAATTTTTTTTGTCGAACGGGTTGTTACTTAAAAGGACAAAATAAAGAAATAGCGAAAAAGAAGATTGTAGGTTTTAGTGAGAGAAAAAATGGTTGTATCCATCCCATTTTGCTAATTATCAATTCGAAATAGAATCAGCTTTGGAAAGATGATCAGATTCTGATTTAAATCATATTACAATCAAGTTTGTCTGTAAGGGAGAGATCGTAAACAAAAAAACAGTATATCTCTTTCGCAAGAAAAAAAGTAGAGGTAAGTAAGAAACTTTTTTGCACGACACTTAGTCATTGATTATGATCTGTAATTGAAAATATACGATAAAAAACGCTTGTTGTTTGACGATCATGCTGTTGTTGATAAGGATTTTGGGCTGTTCGCTGCTGTTGCTGATGTTGTCTTTCATTATTTACGTTTTATTGTTGCTGAGTTTGAGGGAGCTTTGAATCGATAAATGTTCTTTGACGATGATCATCATTGTTCTTCATTTGTTTATTGTTAGTTACGCTTCTCCATTCTCCATTCTCTCTTTCATCTCCATCTAATAATCTTGGAAGTTCACTGGTAGCATGTCGTTTCATTATGTTGGACAAGATTTGTTGTGGCTGTTGTTGTTAAATTCTAATTAAATTCTCTGTCATACTTCCACCATCTACTATTGTCCATCCAAAAAAAGAATGGTATATGACTGTTTTTTGAATAACTTTCGATTGGAAAAAGTTAAAGAGCTTCGATTGCTACCATTCGAAAGAAGAGATTTGGGAACATGTTTTCATAACCAAAACTTTTCCCCGAAGAGCTTTCTGGAACAGATTTTCCAGAGGATCTTTGGGAAATTAGCTCGCGTGTAAAAATTTTCCAGTAGGATTGTGTTGATTTGTTTTCACAGACTGATAGCCCACGGTGTCCTTTTCAAATTGAGAGTCAAGTGAGACCTTGATTTTTTACGCTTCGGGCGTTGTATCGGATTTTCTACGAATCCCAGGACTGGCACCCCGTGACGATTGGTAGCCTTTAAGACGGATGAACTATGCGTAAGCGACCACGCTGCGTCTCGTGGCAATATTTGTTTTTAGAAAAGTTTTAAAATTCTACCGAAAAGCGAGTTTTACGAAAATTTGTGTATTCAGGCTGTTTTCACGTAATATTAAAAAATTCGCTAATCACTCAGTAAACATCAGAACGACTTCAAGATTTCAGAATGTGGAGTATTTAAGCTATTCTTTATCCTGTTTATAGGAAATCTAAAAAGAAATCTCACAAAACCCT